GAGGCGGAAGGATCGCCGGAGCCCAGCAGGTTGAGGCTGCGGTGGCCGGGAGCATGCCACTGGCGACAGAGTGAGACTCCAACTCAAAAAAAAAAAAAAAAAAAAAAAAAGATCTCACCAAGTTGCCCAGGCTGGTCTTGAACTCCTGGACTCAGGCAGTCCTCTCGCCTCGGCCTCCCAAAGTGCTGGGATCACAGGCTTGAACCACTGGACCTGGCCCTTTTAAAATTTTTATTTATGTATTTATTTACTTAATTAATTATTTTTTTTAAGTTGGTATCTCACTCTGTAGCCCAGGCTAGAGCGCAGTGGCACACTCACGGCCACCACAGCCTCGACCTGCTGGGCTCAGGCAATCCTTCCACCTCAGCCTTTCAAGTAGCTGGAGTCATAGGTGTGTGCCACCACGCCCAGCTAATTTTTTGATTTTTTGTAGAGATGAGGTCTTGCCAAGTTGTCCAGGCTGGTCTTGAACTCATGGGCTCAAGCAATCCTCTCACCTCGGCCTCCCAAAGTACTGGGACTACAGGCATGAGCTACCATACCCAGCCTCCTTTTTTTTATTTTTTAATTATCATGTATTTTTTAGTTGGGGCCATTGCCCAGGCTGGAGTGCAGTGGCACAATCATGGCTCACCACAGCCTGGACCTCCTAAGCTCAGATAATCCTTCTGGCTCAGTCTCCTGAGTAGCTTATTTTTATGGGGTTTTTTTTGTAGAGACAAGGTCTCTCTATGTTGACTAGACTGGTCTTGAACTTCTGGGCTCAAGCAATCCTCCCACCTCAGCCTTCCAAAGTGCTGGGATTATAGGCATGAACCATCACTCCCGGCCAAGATATTACTTTTAAAGTCACCAGTTTCTAAATTCCTTGGAGATGGACCTCTGTAAGGATACCTGTGCTTTTAAAGTAGCCACTTAGAAAAGGTACAACTGGCCCCAGCACGAAGGTGGAAAAAATTGAGACATGAGAGGCTGGAGACCCAGGTTTTCCTTTCAGGTTTGCCACTCACAAACTCTGAGCCCTTCGTTATATTTCCTCTCTTCCTTGGGTCTCAGTTTCCCAAGAGATTAGTCTAAATGATCCATAAGGCCCCTTCTAACTCTGATGCAAGAGAAGGGCAAATGCTTTCCCAAATTCTTCCCTTGGTGTTGGTTCCAACGTATGCCACTGATTGTAATACCCTGAAGAGTAGGGTGACATAATGGCATTTATGTGTGGATTTATCCTTCCAGGTATCCCAGGTGCCCTAGGGCCTCAGGGATTTCTAGGATTGAAGGGGGACCAAGGAAACCCAGGCCGCACTACAATTGGGGCAGCTGGCCTCCCTGGCAGAGATGGTTTGCCTGGCCCACCAGGCCCACCAGGCCCACCTGGTAAGTCCATTTCTCTCATTGGTCTTGAGACTCAGGTGTAATCCAGACTGCAGAACAGTCATGATGTTTGAGGGATCATCTCATAGATAAAACAGCTAAGCCAGGACACATGTTAACTGCAAAGGGGCAACCATGAAGGCTCCATCCTTTCTGCACCAGAGCTGTGCCTCTACCAGTTATCGACTCCAGGAAAGTGTTCTCCATCAAGGAACAAGCAAACTAGGACCATCTTGATGATCAAACACTGCTTAATGCCTTCTAACTTTTGAACCCATTCCTATTCCATCTTTCATTATTCTCAGCCCTTACGCCTTTGATTTTTCAGCTACTGAAGTAGCAGCACTATCTCTTTTGAGCTTCCCCTGAGCCACAGGATTCCATTAGGGTAGGCTGAGAACCTGGATCCTCAAGGTGGTTGCTAAGATGAAAGCTTGTCCTTCTTAGATCTTCTACCTGAATATGGAATTCTAAATTCTGAGAGAAAGACTAGACATACTGCCTACCATTTTTCTTTGTAACCTAAATCCCATGACCATTGCAGCTATTTTTTCTTTTGTCATAAGGGAACTTTTGGAGAGTAGATACTGGGATTGCTGAGTTACTGAAGCTACCTTGTTTTTACCTATATCCTGTGTCTAGTACAGTGCCTGGTACATAGTAGATATTCTGTAAGATTAGAAGAATAAATTGAGCCATCAGAAAATCCTGTTGGCTCCTTGCTGCAGATAAGGGTCCCTGTCTTAAATTTTGAATGTTATTTTTTTTGTCTCTACTCTGGTTGTTGAACCTTGTGGACTCCGACTTTTGTGATTGAGCTGCTGTGGTGAGTCAGGTGAGTCATCAAACTTATATAAACTGCCAACATTTTGTGTTCATTTTCCTGAAGGTCCAGCATTTGAGACTGGAACCCTACACAACAAAGAGCCTGGGTTCCCTGGTCTCCGAGGAGAACGAGGTCCAAAAGGAAACTCAGGCCTCAAAGGAATAAAAGGTGATTTTGTCCCCTTGAGTTTCTTGGTCCCCAAACTCTGTAGAGAAGGCTTTATGGGAAATAAGCAAACAATCTTGGGAACCTAAACAGAAGCAATTATGGATCTTGACTGGGGCTTTGATTATAGGATTGTTGGAAGTATTATATTTGGGACTCTGAGACTGAGGCTGGCTATTGAGGTCACACAGGACAGAGTTGTTCACAGGCTTCATTTCCTATCCCCTCCACTTGCAAAAGCTATTGCTGGTAGCCTACGGTGTTCACCAGTACGTGTTGCAAACCCTCCTAGTTTGCAAGTCCAAGGATGGAAGTCACTTATTACCTTCAGCCTGAAGGAAAGGGCTTTGAACAGGTCAGGACGTGAGACTCTGAAAAAGTCAACTGGTTCCAGGAAAGCAACTCCAGTCGCAACTAAAGTTGAAGAATTGATTGAGGACCCCAGCCTTCAGCTGTACTGACTCCATCTTCTTGTGGCCTTTGGGTCATTTCCCCATTCCTTACTCTGAGGGAAAGATGCTCAAATAAGTCAATTCATTACAGTTGCAGCCTAGGCCAGGGTGGAGGAAGAGGTGAAACTACTGACTAAAAAGAGGTTTGGGGATGGCCTAGAGATTTCAGATGTCTGAGTTCTTTCCTCTTCTCTTGATGAATTAACAGCTCTCCTCAGCCTCAAACAGAGAAGTTCTAACTTACACCTCTTCTTTCTCATTGCCCTGTCATAAAATGTCACTACCTAAGTAGAGGAACTAATTAACAAATTTCTAAAAGCTTGATCTCTGCTATTCAGGTACAAGGACAATTATTTGAGAAGAAAGAACATTAAATTGCAAGTTTGGACTTAGGATGTTAATTTTGGCCTTTCCCTGCCTCACTATGGAGCTAGTGTATTTTTTGATACCATTCTCATTCCTAAAACGGGGACATCTCTGATGCTTCCCCTTCCACCTTTCCATGGAGCCAAGAGGTTTTCTCTAAGTCTGGAATAGCAATAGGGATTCTCAAGTCTCACTGTACATGATAATCACTTAGGAAATGCCACTAAAAATTAGATTATTGGGTCTGGCTTCCTGAGACTGATTAATTATGACTGGGATGGCGCCCAGCAAGCTGCCTTATAAACAAGTATCACAGATGACTCATGCAGGAGGTCCATGGATCACACTTGAGAAATACTAATTTGAAGAGCAGACTGTTCTCCTAGAGTTTCAGGGATTATCAATTTTCTAAAAGTAAAAAGAGGCTCTTTGAGACCTTGGGGAAATTCAGAGTCACCTATGTTGGCATCAATTCTCATTTTCAGTACATAAGCATGAAAGCTATAGGGAGTTGGACCATAGTGCTAATGACATCTTGATACATTTTCAAGGGTACTTTGCTGAAATCCCTATTATCAATTTATTTAGTGTTTGTCTCACATGTAGAAAAGTCAGGGGAAAGGACATTTTGAGGAAGAGATCCTGTGAGCGACGTTCATTCCAGACTCTCAGTTGGTTAGTGTATGTCAGTGGTTCTCAACTCTGGCTGCATATTAGGCTCACTGATGACTGGGCCTCATCCCAGACTAATACAATCTGAATCACTAGCACAGACTCTGATGGAGAGTGAACGCAGTTCATTCGAGTCTGTTCTCTGCAACCTTCTGATTCACTCCATAGAGTTGTTCAAGTTACAAATAACCACTCAGTTTTTCTTTCTTTTTGGAAAAAATGGCCCGTTTTGTTCTTCATTCTCTCCCCTCACCCCAGGGGACTCAGGCTTTTGTGCTTGTGATGGTGGTGTCCCCAACACTGGACCCCCTGGGGAACCAGGCCTGCCTGGGCCACAAGGTCTCATAGGCCTTCCAGGCCTTAAAGGAACCAAAGGAGATCCAGGCTCTGGGGGCACACAGGGTCCAGCAGGGGCTCCGGTAAGTCTTGCCAAACCCTGACCCTGAGGGAGGAATGGGAGCTTTCAGGTGCCCCTCACTCTTCCCCCAAATCCCATCACTTTCCTAAAGCACATAGAAAGATGGGGATAAAATACAACTTCAGATTTTCATCTGCAACATGAAGAAGTCTAACTAGATGGTCTCTAAAGTCCCTTCCAGCTTTAGCCTACCTACCTTCCTTTTCCTCCTTCTTCCCTTCCTTCCTTCCATCCACAAAATTATTTACCTTTGCCTAGCAATGTGCTAGCCCCTAAAGATAAATGAGAATTAAGATGAAGTTCCCATCCTCAAAAATTTCAAAATTTACAAAATATTCAGAAAATACATGAGCAATTATTATCCAAGATTACAACATAATCAAGTGCCTAGAACACTGCCAAAGAACCTGCTTGAGGTCACAATGCTGAGGGCCAGAATTCGATGACATCTGCATCTCCTGATTACTCCTTTCTGTCTTTTTGTCAGGGTTTATCTGGGCCTCCAGGTCTCGCAGGTTCCAAAGGAGAGAAGGGAGAACCTATTCTCAGTACAAGATCAGGGATGCCAGGGGAGCAGGGTGATCCTGGCCCCCAGGGATTCCCTGGTGTGACAGGAGCCCCAGGCAATGATGGAGTACCAGGTTCACCAGGTCTGCCAGGCCTTCCGGTAAGTTGATTGTTCCTGGATGATTAGCTCTATAAATCCTCACACCTGATTTGGGGGAGTTTGATGGCCACTGGATCATGAGACAGGACAAAACAGAGAGAGCCTGGAGCATCTCACCCTACCTCTGCCACTGACACTTTTTGCTTCATGCTTTTCCTTTCCGTAAAATGGGAATTTTTTTTTTCTCAGAACGGGTCATTGACTCATTTGATGAATACTAGTAACAACTGACCATATCACTTAAAAGTGTTTCAGCTTCTCAATGGTATTCCCCTTTAAGTAATCCGCCAGCTTCCCGTGACCTCAAGCTGTTATTATTCTGCCCTCTTCTCCCACCTCCATCCAGAACCTTTCTCATCATCAGATCATACAGAGTTCATAAAACTCATTTTTACTGACAAAAGAGATTGACTGATAAACTAAGGTGATAAGAGAATTTTAACAAAATACAAAGCATTGGTCACACTAGGTACCTCTTTCCTATGGTCAGAGGACCCTCCAGGTAAATCTGTGAGTTGATCTTTCATTCTTTTTTATGTATTATCTAGGGTGATGGAGGACAGGGTTTCCCAGGTGAAAAGGGGTTACCAGGACTTCCTGGTGGAAAAGGCCAGCGTGGTCCAATTGGCTTCCCCGGAATTGGGTTGCCAGGACCTCCTGGACCTCGTGGGCTTCCTGGAGATAAAGGAGTAAATGGATTACCAGGGCAACAAGGCCTCCCTGGACTTCCAGGTAAGTCATAAAATCAGATAATTTTGGACTTGGACATTTGACCCCTTGTTGAGTAGATATGAATCCAGTGCATGAAATGTGTCATAAGAAGAAAGTTGGTTGAACATAATCGCTACTTTTGATCCCTTTGAGGGTTTTCATGTTCATGGGGGGAAAGGATTATAATTTTATTGTGGTAAGCCTAGAGGGAAGAACAATATAGATTTCCACTCGACTGTGAAGAACTTTCTAACTGAGCAGTCTAAGAATGCAACAGGGCTATCTAGGGAGGTTATCAGCTCATAATCCCTGGAAAAGTTCAAGGAGAAGCTGGATGACCATTTATTTCAACTGTCATCAAAATAATGAGTGGAAGATTGGACAAAGTATCTTATAAATTGTATGGTAATATCACTGGTAGGAACGAACCTTTCCTCAATTCATAAAATCTCAGCTTGGACAGGGACCCTAGTAGCATCCGGTCTAATCCCCATTTGATACCTTAACTCCCTCCTCTTTATATAACTTTCTTTTCTACTTGAATTTTAGGAATTATAATGAGTGACGGTTCTGCTTATAGATTATGAAGGTACTATGCTAATAACATATTCTTCCACACAGCCAAAACAACTTTGTACCAACTTGTGTGTTTTTACAAATTCTATCTTTCCATTAGTGGCACCATACTTCTTATAATCATCTGAAGTTTGAAATTTTGAAATTATATCTTATTTCCTTTGCAATGCCTCTTGTATTCTTTCCTTCTGTTTCTTTTTTTTTTTTTTTTTTTGAGTTGGAGTCTCACTCAGTCGCCCAGACTGGAGTGCAGTGGCCACTCCCGGCCACCGCAGCCTCGACCTGCTGGGCTGCGGCGATCCTTCCGCCTCAGCCTTCCACGTAGCTGGAATTACAGGCACGCACTACCACGCCCGTCTAATTTTTTGATTTATTGTAGAGATGAGGTTTCGCCTTCCCAGGCGGGTCTCGAACCCGTGGGCTCAGGCAATCCACTCACCTCAGCCTCCCAAGGCGCGGGATTACAGGCTGAGCCACCGAGCCCGGCTTTCCTTCTTTTTCTTGCTACTAAACTCTCATTATCTCATGCCTAGCTTATCAAATACCTATATGCTTATTGTAATAAGTGGATGGTTGAATGGATGGATAGACAAGTGGATGGGTGGACAGAAAATACATGGGCAATTATTATCCAAGATTACAACATGGATGGATGGATGGATGAGTGAATGAATGTCAACACTTTCCTAAGTAGTTTTTCATCTCCTACCTCTATATTTTTCACATTTAATTATATTATGAACACTGCTGACAACTTAATATCTGTAAGGTGCCAATATCATCATGTTACTTGCCACTCCAAAACCATAAATGGACCCCATTGAATAGGGGATAACATCAAAACTCCTCAACATAGAATCCAAAATTATCCAAAAATGGATATAACATACCTTTTCAACCTTATATCACTCTTCGTAATTTAAAAAATCTAAGACACCAGTATTCTTCACTATACCAAAACCTAATACATTGACTTCTAACTCCAAGATTTTGCCCAAATTGCCTTTTTCTAGAATACTCTTCCTCTTTTCTTTATGTAGTCACATTACATCCATCTTTCAGGGTTCAACATAAGCCCCACTTCTTCCATTAAGCTTTCCCTTGACCTCCACAGTATGTTATTGCTGCTTAAATTATATATTGCTTTCCATTAATCATTTTACTTTTCCCAACTACATTGTAAGCCTCTGGATACATAGGGAGGGTGAGTAATACTTCTTAGAGTTTCTCAACCTGCTTAGCACATGTGCAATGTTCTATAAGAGACTAATATTTATTTACAGAAGGAAGGGCTTTCCCAATAATATTTCTTAGATTCCGTTCTCCTTTTTCACCTTGCCACGTGTATGAATTATAACAAAAGAAGATAGGATACCACGTCTTCTAAAATTTTATTTTAAAATACATTTTTGTGAATCAGTGTAATAAGTCCTTATTACGATGATACACTGATTTCAAACCAGTCAAAGTGGGGACCAAAGGTAGGCCCAAACTTTACCTGTACAATGAACATTTGTTTACCTAGTCCTGAATTGTACGCCACATCGTTAAAATAAAAATTAGAGCCGGGCTCGGTGGCTCAGCCTGTAATCCCGCGCCTTTGGGAGGCTAAGGTGAGTGGATGGCCTGAGCCCGCGGGTTCAAGACCCGCCTGGGCAGCAAGACCTCATCTCTACAATAAATCAAAAAATCAGCCGGGCGTGGTAGCGCGTGCCTGTAATTCCAGCCACTTGGAAGGCTGAGGCGGAAGGATCACCGGAGCCCAGCAGGTCGAGGCTGCAGTGGCCGGGAGCGGCCACTGCACTCCAGTCTGGGTGATAGTGAGACTCCAACTCAAAAAAAAAATTAGAAGCGGGGCTCGGTGGCTCAGCCTGTAATCCCGTGCTTTGGGAGGCTTGAGGTGAGTGGAATGCCTGAGCCCACGGGTTCGAGACCTGCCTGGGTAACTTGGCGAGACCTCATCTCTACAATCAATAAAAAACTAGCTGGGCGTGGTAGCGTGCGCCTGTAGTTCCAGCTACTTGGAAGGCTGAGGCGGAAGGATCGCCAGAGCCCAGCAGGTCGAGGCTGCGGTGGCCGGGAGCAGCCACTGCACTCCAGTCTGGGCGACAGAGTGAGACTCCGACTCAAATAAATAAATAAATAAATAACAGAGTGAGACTCCGACTCAAATAAATAAATAAATAAATAAATAAATAACAGAGTGAGACTCCAACTCAAATAAATAAATAAAATAAAAATTAGAACACAGAAAAGAAAAAAAAGGATAATGGTACAGGTTAAAACTTGATTATTTAAGATTCTTAAAACCAAACCAATTTTTTTTTTAGTTGGAACTCACTCTGTCACCCAGGCTGGAGTGCAGTGTCACGCTCACAGCCACCCCAGCCTTGACTTACTGGGCTCAGGAGATCCTTCAGCCTCAGCCTTCCAAGTAGCTGGAACTACAAGTGTGTGCTACCACACCTGACTAATTATTTGATTTTTTTATTGTAGAGACGAGGTCTTGCCAAGTTACCCAGGCTGGTCTTGAACCCCTGGGCTCAGGCAATCCTCTTGCCTC